GTGTATGTATGTATACATGTACTATACACATTATACACACTCAGTACATGTATATAATTAAATATACATACATATTTTATATGCTATCTATACATATTACACACACAGATACACAAATAATGTTCTACTGTTACTTGCTGGATATAGCATAGCATACACCCCCTCTCTCTTTTCTTCCTTTCCAAATACTATCTATTCTTTAAGGCCCAGAAAGTCTTATCTTTTCCACGAAGTCTTGGCCATCTCTATGCCTTCTATAATTTTACTCCAATCAACTGACCTAAATTTACTTCCAAAGGGAATCATTGTTACGTAAAGATAGTTCCCATGCACCACACATTCTGGCCAAATTAATCCTATGCATTCAATAACAAGTTCAAAAAATATTTGCTGAATGTTAAACGCGCTAAATAAAGCCATTCATTTCCCAGCACAGGGCTCTGTCCACAGTATAAACTCAGTAACTGAGTGGATACGCTCCATGGACACCTCATAGCTGTGCATTTCTGTGTATGCTGCTTTATCACACTGGTTGTTCCAGTCATGCCCTCCTGTTCTACACAGCCTTTTAAAATTTTAACCCAGCATTCTAGGACTGATTGAAATAGTGCTAACCTCCTTCCTTCCTCTCTTTAATTCACTACAGCCAAATAGTTAACATACACTGCCTGGCTTGTGATTCTTGGTGCGTATACTTACCCAACCTCTTCACTCAAGATAAATTTCTTGAAGAAAGAATCATTGTATTCCTCATAGCCCTAAGTTCAAGCTTTGAAAATAGGAAGATCTTAAGAAAACTCTGTACATTGAATTTTTTGAATTAACAATTCTAGTCTACTTTGATCTATTCTTTTTTAGAGCATCTTGACTATCGGTATTCATCACACAATCTAGATCTTCAAGCTGTACAGTCTTTTATTAATTTCTAGAAGTGCTTCCTGTCCCAGATAATCTCAACTGAGCTTCTTTGGGGCAGGAGCTGGATTACTTCCACTTTAGATTCCTGGGGTAGCAGGAGATGCTCAGGTGTGAGCTCATTTAAATAGAGATAAATGACTGAATTCATAACAGGAACTCCTTGGAAGAATGACTTATATCCATCAGATCTTTATGCCCATTTCTCCTTAGCAATATCATTCCAGTAACAGAAATGTGATGCACCCAGCTGATAGTTCAACCAAGTGAAGCCATCTGAAAATGAGGAACTTGTCGATCATTCCTGATTTTGGCAAGAAATTCTCCCTGATACTATTTTACCTGCTTTGAGGAGCAGATATAGATCCTCAGATTAAGGATGAGAGACAGAGAACATCTATTACAACACTTCAGCTAACACAAATGATGGCACTGTGCAATATTTAGTTCTCATTAAATTTCCCACAGGGCAATTAGATTTAATAAAAAGAATCCTCTCAGGGCTAGTATATTTCTAATTGCTCATTTGCCCAGGCAAGAAAAACCCTGCACAAATGCCAACTTCCTCCGGCCATACAGAGCTTCTACCAGTTCTTGGGCGAGTTTTCTCCAAGTGAGACTTTTGTGATGACATACACTTCTTGGTGTTTTTTCTCTCTCTCACTATGTAAACATTTTTTACTAATCAAACCCAATTCAAGTAAATGGCTTATAAAACTACAATGGTATCTGTATTTTAAAAATTCTTCACCTGTATTTTTAGCCTGCCTTATACAGTAGGACAGAAAATAAAAATAAATATTTGGCCATGATATAGACTTAGCAAAAAAAAGAAACATACGGCCCATAAATGTTATCTGAGATGGACCCGTGTCATATCATGTGCTAACTTTGGCTGTACAAGCAAACATACCACACAGAGGCCAGCACACGTGCTCAAACATGCTCACCCATACCTTCTGATAGAAACATCAGACTCCACCCTTAATCTCCAGGCCATTTTAAGGAAGTATTCTGGAATATCCACATATTCCAAAGGATAAAGGAATTTTAGTTCACTCAGTAAGAAAAAAAAATGGCGGAGAAAAAAATGTTTTTCCTTTACTAAATTACTTCTTTTGTGTAAGTACTGGTAGGGTATGTGATTTGTGTTTACTATAAACCATTGCATTTCCTTATGTTCAGCTCTGTCCAAGCAAGCATACCAAAAAAAATCAAATAATTAACTACTAGAGAGTAAAACATGAAGCCAACATTAAAACCACCTACTGATGTTTTTTCCTCCACTCTCCCTATGAAGTCAAAGTTTTACTAAAACGCTGACGCAGCTGAAATAGATGTGCTTACAGGTTCACTGGGTCTCAAATATAATTTGAGATCTAATCTCTCAGCTGAGGATGCATTTTTAATTTTCTTTAAGTGTTTCCTAGACCATACATTGCCCATACATTGCATTTCACAGAATTTTTACGTTTCTAAAGTCTTGCCCAGAGGGGTGAAAATCACCTTAATGAAGAAAGAAGAGGTTAAATTACCATGACTCTGGAACAGCACAGGCTCTCAGCTGCAATTCTCTGGCTCAGAACCAGGGTCTAAAACCAGCCATGGGAAAAGCTGCTGAAACGGAGCCTGCAATTCTTTTTATGTTTGACTTGCATAATGTTGACATTCTAACACCAGAGAGACCCAAATATATTTTAAACAATTACAACTTATTTTCTATAAATATTTTTAAATTGCTTTAAGAAATAAAATAACATATTTCACCCTTCTCTTTCTCTGAGTTACTGTGGTCACCCGAGGCAGCTCACTACTACAGATTTATTTTTGGCTGGAAGGTCAGGGAGGACATCTTAAGGCGCTAAGTCGGCTGTTAAACTGTGTTTTCCAACATGAGTTGTGTGGTGAGAAGGGGAGTCAGCCACTCTTAAAGCAGCGACTGAATTCCCTGTCATAACATGAAAGATGGACATTGTTTCTTTCTCCTGCTGAAGCCCAGACAAGGGAAAATACCAAGTACTCAAGAAGATCTTTTAAATAGTCCCCTATCCCTCAATGAGCACAATTTTCATCTTGTACAGAAAAATCTTTCTCCCCTTTCCATTTCAGTGCTTTTCCTTGTTTTGGTTATGTCTAATATGAAACATGGTTTAACTATTGAGATTTCGCTACTGGGAGAAGGGTGTGAAAAAGAGGGGAGGATTATAGAGATGGGCAAGGAAGGTCACGATTCCTGGGTACATCATTCAACCATTCCAGGCTCTCTTTCCTTCAAACGAGGTGATGTGTAATCACCCAGCAAGCGAGAGGTAAAATTCATTTGCAACCTGCAATTTCCTCTCTCAGAGAAGATGATCAACAAGACTGAATTCTGAACTCTGAAACTAGGCTATGATATCCTTAGTCACAGATGAGCTGAGTGAACAGTAGGTTAATAACCCTTCAGTGCAATTTCATTATCTCTCCCACAGCCTGGGGACCAGAGACCTGGCTTGTCTTCAACATGAATGTCCTCTGCATGATTTGTAGCATTAATTTTTGATATGAAAACATCAGATGCCAAAGCTGACTACAGTAGTTCTCCTAAAAGATTCACAGACAAGCCCTCCAGGTTTATGATTTTAAAGCTAACACAAGTTCTGCTTTTCTACTAATTTGTTGCCACTTAAAACTTGCATCTTTTGGGGGTGGCGCCTGTGGCTCAGTGAGTAGGGTGCCGGCCTCATATACCAAGGGTGGTGGGTTCAAACCTGGCCCCGAGTGAACTGCAACAACAACAACAAAATAGCTGGGCATTGTGGTGGGTGCCTGTAGTCCCTGCTACTCAGGAGGCTGAGGCAAGAGAATTGCCTAAGCCCAGGATTTGGAGGTTGCTGTGAGCTGTGTGATGCCATGGTACTCTACCCAGGGTGATAAAGTGAGACTCTGTCTCTACAAAAACAAACAAACAAACAAGCAAACAAACAAACAAAAACAACTTGCATCTTTTCAACAAAAATAGACAAATGAGACTTAATTAAACTGAATAGCTTCTGTACTTCTAAGAAAACAATGATCAAAGCCAATAGACAACCGTCAGAATGGGAAAGGTATTTGCATACCATAAATCGAATAAAACTTGATAAATGGAATCTATAGAGAACTCAAATTAAGCAACAAAAAAAGAGCCAACAATCATATCAATGGAAAGTGAGATGACTAGAATCTTCTCTAAAGAAGAAAGATGAGTGGCTAACAAACATATAAAAAAATGCTCATCGTCCCTCATTATCAGAGAAATGCAGATCAATAACCCTAAGATATCACCTAACCTCAGGAAGAGTGACCTACATCACAAAGACTCAAAGTTGTAGATGCTGGCATGGCTGTGTTACAAACTAACACAACTCTTTTGGAAAAGAGGTATGGAGAATCCTCAAAGAACTCAAACTAGATTTCCTATTTGATCCTGCAATCCCCATTACTGGGTATCTACCTAGAAGAAAAAAAAATCATTTTATCATAAGGACATTTGTGACATTTGCACTAGATTGTTTATTGCAGCTCAATTTACAATTGCCAAATTGTGGAAACAACCTAAATGCCCACCAATCCAGATATGGATTAATAAACTGTGGTATATGTATACCATGAAATACTATTCAGCCACCAAAAAGGATGGCGATTTTACATTTTGGGGGGTATTAATTTGGAAGGAGTTGAAATAAATTCTTCTTGTTAAAGCATCACAAGAATGGAGACGCAAGAACCCAATGTACTCAATTCTGATATGAGGACAATTTATGCTAATACATGGTGGGGGGAAGGGAATGGAGAGCAGAGAGAGGGAAGGAGGGAGTGTGGGGCCACAATGACACCTGTGAAACACCTCTTGGGGGCAGGATACTATTATTAGTGGGACTTTACCCAGCAAATGCAAGCGGTGTAATCTGGCTCTTTGTACCCTCAAGGATCCCAACAATAAAAATAACTAACTAAATAAACTTGTATCTTTTGATTAAATCATCTAAAGAACTTGGATATAACAAATAAAGTGCAATGTTGTTTCAAAACACAGGGGGTGGGAATAGGAAAGCAGAACTCACCCTCACTCCTAGAAAAAGCATCACTTGAGCCTGCCAGTGCCAAGGTCAGCAGCAGCTGCCAGAGATCCATACCTGAAGGACCTGCAATCACAAAGAGATAAAGCCAATGAACTAAAAGCAGACCATTATCATGAAATATTGTTTAAAGATTGCAGGAAACCATGAATGCGCTGACATGTCAGTTCAAGAGAAATCTTTCATTGCCCTAGAGTTCCATGATGTCATACTTTTCATAAACACAAACAGCAGGTAATAAAACACTCTACTTTTTGTGGGTGTTTGTCTCAGGAAATAACATGAATGCTCGAGATTTTCACATTGTGGTGCACAGCCATAGGACCACCTCACAGCCACTGATCCCCAGGCACAGCTTCAATAATAGGGACAATGTCATTCACTTTCATTTGATCTGGAAATAGAAAAACTTGTCAGCAGTATCACTGAGCATGGGGCCTTGCCCTGGACAAGCCAGTCTAGCATGCAGTGACATTTCTTAAGTCTGTTTCCCAGTGAACACAAGAGATCAATTAACACACAAAACTCTGTGCTAATGAGCCATCCTAATGAGGTCTAATTAGAAGAGAAACAGAAGGAAGGTGAGAAGCAAAAGAAAACTGTGCCTCAGCGTCCAGTCTAGCAAAGGAGGGAGAGCATAACACGCCCCACTCAGCACACCCTTCTCTGGAGGAAGCAAAGAAGCTTTTCTGGAAAAAACAGACCGGAGTATTCATGCCCAGAATCTCTAGAGGCAAGTTTGGGCTGGCTGAAAATGAACTCAGCACACTGACTTCTGTAGAGCAGTTGATGTGTCTAATAACTATTGCCAGTGACTCTAAAGCTTAGCTGCAACATTTCCATAGAACTGCACTATTTACAAGTCACCTGGGCATACCTGATCCTTACACTAGAAACTCTACCAGACCCTATATTGGCATCATTTTGATTACTGTGCAAACTTGACAATAATGAAATAGCCCTATTTGGTATCCCGAGCAAGGCTGAAATGATGGGCAGGAATGTTTGTTTTCATGGGCCTCCAGGCACGGTCCTCTGGCAGTGGCTGTGTAATTCCTAAGAGGGATTCAAAAGTCCGATGTTCCATACTTGCACTTGGAGACAGTGAACAACCTGTTGTTTTGTTGTTGCTGTTCCATGTAATTTATGTTCTTAAAAAACTCCTAAGAAAACAAATCTCTGTGTGAACGGAATCTTTTCTCACATCTGATTACTCCTGTGCACACCCACATTCATAAAGAACCCCCACCTTGTACACTGCCTCATACAGGCCTGGATAGGATCAAGTGCAAAAGTGCAGACGAATACACTTTATCAACTGGGATATCAAACAAATGGGTGTCATGGTTATTACAACATCATGTTTAATTCCTAACCTGGACAGCTCTGGGATGGCGGCCTTGCATCATTCTGGTGCATGTGAACCACTGAGCATCTGTTTCTATGTCAGTGGTTCTCAACTTTCTTAATGCTGCGGCCCTTTAATACAGTTCCCGTGGGTCGCGACCCACAGGTTGAGAACCGCTGTCCTTTGTCCTTTCTTCCTAAGTGAATTGGCTGTTGATCCTAGTTGGAGGCCTCAGCAGAAATACATTAAAAGGCTAAAAGCAAACATAGGTTGAAAACTCCACGCAGTTTATAACCAGATGTTTTCTCTTAATTTGATTTTTTTGAAATGCAGAAAGCACTGAGGAACTGGAAGTCATACATAATGTTTTTTACTAGTTATCCCCTGTGACACTTTGTGTGTCAGAGACAAGAGCAGGCTCTACTAGAAGTTTCTGTCTTGATATCACGGAGTAGCAGTGAACCCCCTGTTCCCAGGCAGGCTTTTTTGCTTCCCAGTGGAGAAAGGATCTGAGTGAGTTTGCATTTCTCAAAAGGATGCTTTCTCTGATTTGGAAATCACCTCTTCAAACATCTCAAAGAGACCTGGCAGATGCCAGAAACAAGTGACTTTTGATTCAGATGAGTAGCGGATGACCCTCACTTCAGTCCCCAAACTTTGGAAAGCTTCTGGCTGGTAAATGAACTTCACTTCTCCCAGATGAGGAACTGCATTATTATAATTCCTTTACAAGGCAAACATATCTCCATAGAACAGTGGTTCTCAACCTGCAGGTCACGATCCACAGGAACTGTATTAAAGGGCCACGGCATTAAGAAGGTTGAGAACCACTGCCATAGAACATGTTTTGTATAAAAACCAAACAAACCAAAATGCCCAAAGCATAATGAAAAAGAAATCTGCTAGCGCACTCCTATAGCAGGAAAGGAGGTGTTTAAAACTGTTATTCTCCCAAACAGGAGATAAGTCCCGTTCATTAACACTCTGGGATTGGGAAGCAGGAAGAGGACAAAGAAATGTGGTTGGATTCAGTACAAGCTAATTACATTATTAGGGTCTAACTCTCCCCTTTCCTTACGCTGATGTTGGCTCAATGGGAATGACTCCAAAGGCAGCCCTTCTGCACTCCCATGGAGAGCTCTCTCTGGTGCTATCACAGGAGGCAGGCCAACACACACTCCATTTCTTCTGACTGTAAGCTGCCCACATCGGCCTTGCAGAGCACTATATTGCAGCTGCTAGTTGAGAGGATCCTTCTTTATCTGATTCTAGATGAAATAAAACATCTGAAGAACAGAGTGCTGACACACAAAGTTTGGAACTTTAATGTGATGAATGATTACTTACAGGGGTGTCCAACCTGTGGCCCAAGGGCCACATACTGATTTTGTGAGGACTTTTATTTGCTTATCTGTGGTGTCAGATAGCATGAAAAGTATGCACAGACCTTTGTTCATTTTGTGCTAATTAGCTTTCATTAGTGTTTGTGTAATGTGTGGCCCAAGACAATTCTTCCTATGTGCAGAAGAGAGAAAAAAGAAAAAAAAGTTGGACATCAATGTATCAGTGACATGCCAGATGTGAGGAAGAGAAAGCCCTTTTTCCCCTTCCGCAAGCCATTTATGTGCAGGTACCTCAGCACATTTATTCATTAACCTAGAGTGACAGGAGTCCAACCTAAGTGCTGTCATAAGAGACCCTACTCATAAATCGAAGTACACGCAGGCAGGCACTGTTCAGAGGAACCTACCAAACTGCAGCTTAATCTATTGGTTTTTTGAAGCTTGTAGTATTTTCCTAGGGAAAATCCCTCTCTAAATTTCTTATGATATTAATGCATTCTTTGGCTATAGTCTCATGGCAAAATTTTCAGCCGGAGGGAAAAAATGGGCTTCTATTCTTACATAATGGAACTCACACCATTTCCACCCTCAACGGCCTGAGGCATTTTGCCTTCTCTCAGTCCTTTTCCTAAGAAAGAGCCATTTGAAAACCAGTATAATCCAGCTGGCAAGAGTTTGAAATCTGTAGTCTGCCTACGAGAGGAGGCCTTCAAATGATACAATTAGGCCTATGATACACTGACTTATTTCTTGGTTATAAAACAGTCCATAAACACATGAGAAGAGAAGGTTAGATATTATATTTTTTTCAACATGTTATAACCAACTCCAGGGAAAGCAAGCAATTGGTTTAATTCTCTTTGACTTAAAATCAGCAAGTGTTTGTTGAACTACTAGTTCTTGCTAGCACTGTGCAAAGCCCTGGGGAGACTGATGCAAAAGGCATCAAGATCATGGTTCTTGACTTCAAGATTTAGGCAATGCAACCACTGAAAAGAAGGGGCTTACCTAAAAAAAAAAAAAGGCAGAGGAAAAAGGAAAACCAGCCACTGACTGGAGGGACCTAAAATTAGAACTAAATGACAGATAAGACGGTGATGGGTAAGGAAAAGTGAGGAGGGGCTGTGGTGAGCCTGGAGGGCTAAAGCTCAGTGAGGATATTCTGGGTTTGGGCGTGAATTCTGAGTATGTCATGGTTGAGAACTCAGATAAAATCTATGGCTTCCCCTAAGTGGCTGGCTGACTGAACTCCGTCTAGGTCAAGAGGATCCCTAAAACTGAGTTGCTAGGCATGAGAGAACAGGTCAGACACACCTCACCATGCCCCTGCCCCTTCTTAGAGACGAGCTTTGTGACTGACTCACTAACAGGCCTAAGGCTATGCAAGACCTACCTGCAGGTCCTCAATATACAGAACAAACCACTTGGTCTATCCAGTACTTTGCCTCTAATTAGCAGACCTGTTATTTTAAGCATTCCTTTTTCCTGAAATCTTGTTTTAGACAAAGCCTAACTTTTTCAGTCAGGGTGTTAGGTTTAACTCTCCTGTCACCAGTAAGTGCCTCCCCCTTCCCGATGTCCCACCTTTTTTTTTGCCAAACCAATGTATTTTTTTCACATATTGATTTATGACCTTACCTGTAATTCCTGTCTCCCTAAAATGTGTAAAACCAAACTATAAACCCGCCACTGAGAACCCACTTGCTCAAGGCTTCTTGGGTGTGGCTCTGGGTCATGGTCCTCAAATTTGGCTCAGAATTACTGATAATATAGCTCTCTTCTGTTGACACGGTAATATTCTGATGAGGCTGGCAGACAACCAGGCTTAGAATTATGAATGAGGGGGGCATAAAGTGAGAATGGCAAGATATGACCACAATAAAAGAGCATTTTCAACTCCTATTAATCAGAAAGTGGCTAGAGGTTCTGCACAAAAGTGGATTTTCCTTAGTGCTGTCCTTCATGCCTTCTTAACATCATTGAGACACAGTGACTAGATACAGGAGATACATAAATAATTGGGTATGCGTGTGGATGGAAGACTGTGCTATCAGCAGAAATCAGGATTTTGGGATCTGAGTTGTTTAGTGGGAGGAGATGACATAACTGCTTTGGGTACTGGTGCTCCAGGCAAGACTTCTGGAAGTATTAGATATGGGAAGTTGAAGGTAAAAGACCAAAGAGAAGTTACTGGAGGATGAGAGTTGGCTACATAGAGCTGAAGAGTATCCAGGTGAATTTAATGCAAAAACTAGACTATTTAGGGAAAAAACTCCACACTATCTTTATCAAAAAAAAATGTTAAAAGTTTATGAATACATACAGGGAAAATGTGCTCTTATTTGGCTTGTAATTTGGCAGAATCAAATGAACCA